TTTCAGGATCCTCCCGATGTAATTAGAGAACAAATCATGGGATGTTACAGGATGGAAACAAATTGTTTTACTTTGGTGCTCAGGAAGGCAACATGTTCAGCATCATACGCTTTTTTTTTGTCTTTTTGAGACAGGGTCTCACTATGTAGTTCAGGCTGGCCTTGAGCTTGCTTTGAAGCCCAGGCTGGTTGCGGACTCGCAATGATCCTCCTGCCTCAGCTTCCCAAGTGCTGGGATTACAGGCGTGCGCCACCATGCCCGATGTACAGTTACTCTTGATAACACCGTATCTTTAAATTTCCTGGTGTGCCTTGTAATTGGCACATTTTTGAGGTGAAACACTGAGATGTTGGTTTCTTCCCTCGCTGCAGCTACCTCTGAACAGTGGGGACGAGAGCTACAAGCTGCGCGTCACTGGCTACGTGCAGGATGAGATTTTTTTCTACCACAGCAAGCCCTTGTCCTTCGAGAGTAAGAGAATGTCTGTCTTCATTCAGACGGACAAGACGCTCTATAAGCCAGGGCAGGAGGTGAAGTTTCGGATCCTCACGCTCTTCTCAGACTTTAGGCCCTACAAGGCCTCCGTGAACATCCTCATTAAGGTAAGTGGCAGAGAGGGACACAGCCAGGCCCTGGAAGTCCTGCTGGCTGGGACGGGGCCCTGGGTGAGTTGCCCTGGCCTCCTGGGAACCCTCTGCCCTGGGGGAAGAGTGCAGGCTGCACTCACGGCGCTTCAGCGTCGGGCCTGGCCTCCCCTCCCCGTGGGCTCCTTTGCCCAGCATTCCCTGAGCGTCTGTCTCCCAGGCACTGATGCAGGGCAGGGAACTCAGCAGATGGAGCCCCTGCTCACAAGGACTTCAGTTTCCAGTGGGTTGTGGGGAGACAGAGCAAAGCACACTTGTATATTCTTCATAGTCTGTCCCTGTGCCCTGGTGTCTGCCTTGGAAGCCTTGGAGATTATTTGGACGTTTCTGTGTGTGATTGGGTTCAGCCCACTTTGGGCACAGAGAGCTCAATCTTCCCTCGCTGGCTTGGCCAGCTCGTGGCCTCCTGCCCAGGAGAGGGACCTTTGGGCTCAGACCTGCATTTGGGAACAGAGAAGGAGCACGCTCCTCCCTGCTCCTGGGTGTGCACTCAGGGCCCTGCCGCCTTCCTTGGAGCCTGCAGGGCCCAGCTGGACCTCTGAGGCCAGCACCATTGACTCCTCCCGGCGAAAACTGTCCGGTAGGCCATCACTGAGTAGCTGTGCTGTTGCCCGCATTTTCTAGTTGGAATAGTTGGTTTCTTGGGAAAACGTGGGAGCAGTCGTATGCCGAGCACAGCGCCACCTGAAGGTCAATGTGGGGGAACTGTATCTCTGAGCCAGGCTGCCGGCTTTTTACATTCTTTTTTTTTTTTTTTCATTTTTTTTTTTTTTTTTTTCCCGATACCGGGAATCAAACTCATGACCTTGTGCTTGCCATGCAGGCTCTGTGCCGCTGAGCTAAATCCCTAGCCTCACTGCTGGCTTTCTGAGACCCTATTTGCCTGACCAAGAAAGGACAGCATATCCAGGAAATTTTAAGTGTTATTTATTATTTATTTATTTATAAATGGAGGTCATTTTAGGTATTTAAGTTTTGCCGGCCTTCTTCTTCTCCTTCTCCTTCACCTTCTTCTCCTTCTCCTTC